AGTAGCATAAAGAAGCTCCATAAACCTCTCTGATCTGGTCCAACCAGAGGCCAAGAGTACTTAACTATGAGTGGATAATTAACTATATAAGTATCTAGCATATGTAGTAGTTAAGTACGCGGAACTAAACTTTTAGTCTTAGACATATTAACTTTCATCATGAACTTGTAAGGGGTAAATCATCACTCAATCGTCATATCCATCATCGCCCAGCATCTCGTCGGAATCTGGTGAACCAGTTGGTCTCCTCGCCACCAGACGCCTCTCTGGCCAGCGATCAGGGTCATTTAGCACAAGGACCTCGTCTGGCTCATCCTCCTCTGGTTCCTCATCAGCACGATCCTCTTGTGTTTCCTCATCATCAGCACTCTCGTCTGGTGTTTCCTCATCATCAGCCTGTTCAGTTGTTTTTTCATCAACAGCCTCCTTCTCCTCCTCGATCCCTAATAACAACAAATAAGGTTTGGTAACAGATCGGTTGAAAACGAAATAAACTTCACAACTTAACCTGCTGCCATCACCGGAAAAAACTATTAAAAAAAATTAAAAAAAAAACATATTTAAAATCCCAAAACGCCCGGAAAGATGAAACATTTTCGTTTTAGTTTTTGTCTAACAACTTTGGAAGAAATATGATAAGAATCTCTCAATTTCATATAGGGGTTTAAGGAAAATAAAATAAAATAAAGCAAGAAACTGGAAACAAGAAGAAAAAATGAAAAAGGTGCCAACTTTTTTGGAGATCACACAACACTATATTCCAAAAACAAGTTGAAACATATAGAATCAGAAGCCCCATGCATTAAAAATGACAACTTTGAAACAAAAGATGGAAAACAAGATCTGACCTTTAGCTTTAGCTGCTTGATGAACGCTGCTGCCACCATCACCAGAAGAAACTAAAAAAAAACAAAAATAAAAGAACACAAGCATTAAATGTAAGACATATTCTGAAATCACAACAACAAGACATTAGGATCACGAATAAATCAAATCAATATGAAATAGAGATCGACTAATTATATTGAACTTATCTGTAGAATTCGGAAGACATGGTTATGAAGGTGAAGCCATTGATCCTTACGAACAAAGTAGAAGTAGTCTTCTACTTCCAGTACCTCTCAATGAACTCTACTATCGAAATAGGCTTATAGTTTCCGTGAGTTTCTATCGGTATGGAAGCAGGGACTGCTCCTAGGTTATATAGCTAGGGTTTCAATCAATTCCTCCCTATTATCGGAAAGGATATCAACCCAAATCATATCTCATCAATTATAGTCCCATCATGACTCTTATTCCTTGTATTTACTTAATAAAGGCCCTTAATTGATTGCATGTAATTAGGACTCCAATATGTTTATTTCCTTAAGGCACCGAGAGTCCTAGAGATTTCATTAACTTGATTGCCAAGTCAATATTCCCTCAATTATTCTCGGCATAATCATTGTCATTCACAAAATGGTTTTACATTAAAATCCCAAAAGGCTGAACAGATGGAGACTTTTAGTGTTTTGAAATAGGATCCACTACACTTACTAGAGAGTTTTTGAAGTTTGCTTTCCCCATGAGCTGAAGAGAATTTTGATTTTCTTTTCATCCCATCAGCGGGAGACTTGGGCGGTTCCGAAGAGAGTTTTTGAAGTTTGCTTTCCCCTTCAGCTGATGAGAATATTGATTTTCTTTTCTTCCCATCAGCGGGAGGCTTGGGCGGTTCCGAAGAGCTCATCTTTTAGGGCAGACGAGAGAGGGGGAATATTTTTTCAGGGGAATAGTGTGTGTCTGGGGGGGTGTTTGTGGGGAGTGGGGTGAAGTGAAGCTGTGCTTTTTAATACCCTAGTACAAGTGTAAAGAAAAACAGGGTTAGCCTATCAAACACGAACAGGTGTAACATAGCAAACTACTTTTGGCCAACTTTTTCTTATCATTTTTTCAATGAAAGCTTGTCGTCAAGAGAAATGCTATGATGAGTCTTCGAGATTCTTTATGAATTCTTTATCATCTCATGGAATTTTCGTACCAACGTTATATTTTAGTGTAAAAAATATGATCTTTTGAGAAAAAGTCTTTTTGACATTTCTCATTGAGTAATTAATAAACCAACACAGGTAAAATGTTAAATACCCACAAACATCTAAATTTTTAAGCATTCCAAATACCTACCTAATTAATGTTTTGTAAAACTGGACATTTACTAAAGGGATATTTTGGATGCGGTCCCTAATCCTTAACATTCTTTGATTAAAACCTTAATAGTATTCAAAGTTTAATCAAGGTCCCTTGACTTTGTACACCTCATTATATTACTATTAATTTTTATATTTTTATAGTTTTGACATTAATTGTTTGGTATTTTATGAGATTTATAATCCTATAAATTTAAAATTTCTCATTATAATCCTATTAGAAACGGTTACAATAAAAAAATTCAAACATTTTGATTGAATAAATGGATAAAAACTATGTAAAAATAAGAAATAATAAATGGCAAAAGAAGGTATCCATAGTGTTAAAAAAATTGGTACATTTCAAATATAACAAAATGGTATAATAATAAAGAAGAATGTGTACATTAGAAATAAATTAGGGTACAAATAAAAGATTAAAACTTATGAATACAAATGAATTTTTAAAAATATAGGCGCTAAAAGAAATTAATACATGGGTAGAAAATATAACTAAAAATTAAAAAAAAATGTTGCAAATTAAAAGTGGGTACAAACTAAAAATATAAATATATGATACAAAGTTTAGGCATAAAACATAAATATACAATATGTAATTTTTCTATCATTGATTAAATATACAATGTCACTTGATGGTATACATATGGGTACAAACACAAATAAAACTTTAAAAAAATAGCGGCACAAAAAGAAACTAATATATGGGTACAAATTAAAAATGAAAAGAAAATTGGTACAAATTAAAAATATGTACAAACTAAAAATAAAAATATATGATAAAAAATTTAGCCATAAATATAAATATACTAATTGTAACATTTTTAACATTAAAGGAATATATTTAAAAATAAAAATATTTTATTATTCAAATAATTAATGATGTTATTAATACCCAAGGACCTTGATCAAAAAGTGAAAATGAATAGGATTTTAATCAATAGAGTAACAAAAAGAAGGATGTGAACCTAATTTTCCCTTTAAATAATGCCTTGGGACAAATATACTTATAGGGCAAGTTTGCGTTTTCACATACACATCAGTTATGGATCCTCAAATTAACCCGTTTTAGCCAAGTTTAACCCTATACTAGTTTGGCTAAAACTGCCAGCTTTGGGCCATGCCCTTCAATTTATTTGTCCACGTCATGACTTAGGGCTGGTTTGGTATTGCTGTGCTTTGAAAAAAAACTGTTTCTCCTATGCTGTGAGAGTAAGTGGCTGTGAAATAAATTTGTAGAGTGTTTGGTAAACTTTTTTTTATAAAAATGCTTTTGAAAAAAGAAGCAGTATTATAGTGTTTGGTAAACTTTTATGTAAAACAAATGTGAAAAAAAAAGCCGGTTTTTCAAAGCTGGGTTTTGCAACTTCTTGTTTTTGGCTTTTTTCACCCAAAACTGTGAAAAAAAGCTGAAGCTGAATGTTTACCAAACACAAAAAAAGCTCCCAGCTTTTTTTTATACCAGCTTTTTTCAGAATCACCTTAGTACCAAACCAGGCCTTAACTTTGCTGAGGATGTCACTTGACTCTAGTGATTTAACAAATGTGCAATTTTCAAAACAATATATATTTATTTGAAATTTTTTTAAAGGCCTGAATCAATTCAGACTCAACCTTAAAGATTGAGTTGTTATGTGTACTTACTGCTAAATAAAATGTTGAAAGAATTTTCTCACAAAAATATTTGTTGGAGCCAAACTTTTCATGATTTGAGCATCGCGTAACATGTTCCTAAGTTGTGTCACCACATCATCGATCCCGCATGTCGTAAAAGGATCATTGTTTTGTTTCGGCTCGAAATAAAAGAAAAAGAGGTCCAAATTTGTTTCAATAGCAACAGGTAAAATTTGAACATTGCCTTCGTCCATTAAAACTGGAGACCTTTTGCTTGTTTGAACTCAATAGTACAGACCGGCTTATACAGTTTAGATTGCCCTCTTGAAGATTCTTTTGCAATTTCCATGCCTTCCTATTTTTAATCTACAAAATACACAAATATCTCCTACAAGTGAATCTATCGGATAAAGAACTAATTAAGGAATATACAAGGGACTCGTAAGTTGTAACTTACTTGGTTAAATGTATTCGTTCATCTACGTAAAGTCCCGAGTTCAACTTCCCCCTCCTTTAAATTTAGTATTGCTTGTATAAAACTATTTAACTTTCTTTATGTATTGACTCAAGTTGGTTGGTCCCGTCTTAGGCTTCGTGAATATAATTGTAGCCGTGAAACTAATTTGGTCGTTGGGAAGATTGACACTCAAGCCCAAATATGTTATATGCTGAATAATCTTTTGGACTGTCACACTTGCACATTGATATTACTCATAATTTATTCAAATTTTCGTGGATAATTACGTTTTCACACAATAAATGGGTGAAACCCATCTCTTAATATTTTTCTAAAACATAGTTCTAGATCTTCATGCATCAAAATTAACCTTTTTTTACAAGGCGATATTACCTACACTATGGGGATGGGGTAAGCTTAGCCTCACAATGAGCTAGCAATAATGTGGTTCAAATAATTCACCTTTGGCGAGAATCGAACCTAAGACCTTTTACTTACAACTTACAAATGAAGAAGAATATCATTAAACTATAGTACTAAATAGCGTGCCAGCCTCATTTTTGTTTAGAAAATTCAATATATACTAAAACTGAAAATCAACTGAAATACTGTTCATAAGCACAGTGTCATTCCGATTTTACCCTTGCTTAGTTTGTGTTATTACAAGGTTGCCATTCTTTTTGTTAAGTTCTTAGGTGTCGTTCTTTCTCTTCGACAGCACAGTGATAAAACACTCTAGCAAGTCCAACTGGCTGCAGACTCCATCAAAGCCTAGAAATCGTTTTGCTTTTTTGGGCATCCTCCTTTTTCTCCCTGCTCCTTGCTTTCCCCAACCTAGAATCCTCATCCTTTCCCCGAATGAGAAATTTGAAATCCACAACCCAAAACTCACTCATAGTGGCCCCTGCCTTGCCTCATTCCTCATATCCTGATGGTTCATTCTCTCCATTCGATTCGATTTTGGTGAGTTCTTTGTGTTATAAATTTTGATATTTTGTACCGACTTTGCTCTAATTAATTTTAATTTCGTCTGTTATTGTTGGGTTTAAGTAAATTTCGAACCTTTTGTTTTCGTTCTTAAAATTTTTGAGTTCTATCTGTTAAATATTTGTTAAAAGACCCGAATTATCTGTTTGAACAATTTGTATAGTCTATGAAAATTGAACAAAAAGTCATATGATCCGTGATTTCTTCCTTCCTGGTCAACTAGAAAACCTTCTGGAGCTTCATGGTGGTCGCACATCTCCTCCTCTCTGCTCTCCTCCAAAGTTGTGAAGATTTATTTATAGTTATGTATTTATGTTTCGATAATTGCATGTTAAAATAATGTTTTGAATTTGTGATTTAATGTAATTGGGCTTTAGAAATTTTTTTCTTGATTATGTCGAAGGTTTCATAATCGTGATGTTGAGAGAAAGAGAGCAAGAACCACGTTCACATAATATATTCACTATAGGTGTAGAAGCTTAGTTCTCCTGTTTTTTGGCCAGTTTCAAAGGCTCTGAATTGCTTAATTTTCTTTAAAAAAAATTTTCAACTTCAAATATATTTTTTATTTTTTTTTCGGTTTTCCGATTTCTGGTTGTGTTTCAGGGCATAATAGTGGGAGTTGAGTAATGGAGTTGCTGCCATGCAATGGAGTATAGCAGGAGGCAGAGGACCTTTCACTCAATCTAATGGATGGAGCTAGAACACCAGGTCTTGATCTACAAATACATCCCAATGTGCCCATTTCGCCCACTCCGCTCATCCCAATCAAGAAGGCCCTTAATTCTGCATGATTTTTGACATTTTCGAACAAAATTCTCAGGCCCAATTCATGTAATTTCTTCATTTTACTCAAAGGAAAATGATTTTCACACACTTTTTTTTTCTTATGCACGTTTTTGCGTATTTTGTTGCTTGATTTTATTTAATTCAAAAGCTAGAAATAAATCTAAATTTCTCATGCCTTCATTCTAAGTATCTTTCGATTTTCGTGGGGTTGTGTATGTGCAGTGGGATGATTCTCCAACACCACTGATCCTGAGCAGAACATGTTCATTGTGAATTACAAGGATTTCATAGGTAATGTATAGATTAGGGATACACTTGAACCTAGATAAGCATGAAAAGCATACGGTTTTGCTTGACCCATCTAATCACAGAATTGTGTACCATCAATTCAAACGTTGTAGAACCAGTTTAATGAAGTTGTAGTTGGTTGTGTGTGTTTGTGTTCAGTGGGAGAGATTTGTTATTGAGACGGTAAGCCAGGCAAAAACAGATTGATAGTGTTGAAGAATGGGGTAACAATTTAATTATATGTACAATGAAGAATCACATAATGTTATTCTTAAAATGGGTCTGCACAAATTTTGCATAATATGAAGTCACCGTATATAAATGGTATTGCCAAAATTATTTCTTATTTTGTTCCTTTTTTTGTAAATAGAGTTGTAAGATTTTCAAATGTATGTAAATAGTATTGCCTATTGTATATACATTTATAACTTTCTATATGTTTTATATGGTTTTAAAACCCGCAGCATCGCCTGGGGACACTTTCGATAGTAATCTACCAATCTCAAAGTTGAAAGGAAAAAAATGTTAAGTACCCACAAAAGGTACGGCCAACGTGATTAATTAAGTACTGGTTTGGTACTGAGGTGCAAAAACAACTTATTTTCATAGCTTTTTGTGAAAAAAACTGAAAACATGAAGCAACAAAAATGAGCTTATTCTCACAGCACAGTAGAAGCATTTTTTTTTTCAAAGCACAGCAATACCAAACCAGCCCTTAGGCTACGTATCAAAATTTAAAATTAAGGGTACAAATAAAAGATTTAAAAAGTGAAGGGCCTGTTCGGTATTTTGAAATTGAATTCTACATCTTCTAACTCAAAAACAAATTTTGAGTCACAATTAAGTTCAAGATTCTTATTTGGTAGGCACTTCTCAAAAACTCAACTCAAAAACTCATTAGGCATATAAAAGCGGCCTTCGGCCTGACAACTCCAGCTAGTTCATCCGAAGAGATAATTAACCGAAAAGAGAGGGCATACGCAAATTCAAAGGAGGATCCTACACTACATCAATGGACAAACTCAACTCAGTCAGAAAATCTGTCACCGTACATGTTCTTTCCATGCACATATTTATGCTTTATTTCAAAATGTTTGAGCTGGGTGATAATAGCCTTGCAACGACGTTGGATAACCACGTCCATTAGCTAGCTAGGGCACAAAGGCAAAGAAACAAGAAGAGAAACACAAGTAAATATATAAAGGAGACCATGCTCGTAACAACACTGTATGCATAGGGGGGCCGGGGGAGGGACTTGCAAACACATGCAACAAATCTGCAGTAAGAGTACTTTCACTTTAATTAGCACTAGCCTTCATGCACGCATTCACACGCATACAGAAGGTATTTTTTGAATCACGGCGTGCTACGCGCAATTTACATATTTTAAATGTATTTATATGCTTGAATTGACAAAAGGAAAGTCAAATATTTGAAGTAAATGAATAATCTTAGATCATGGTAGAAAAAAAATCCCATCACAAACCAATCAAAGCAGTTGAATTCACATAATAAATCAGTTTTTCAATTTCCATCTACATTCTATTGAATTTACATTAAGAATAGAGAAAATAATATTTAATAAACAACTGATTGAATCACATTATTGCTAACCTATTGTGAGGCTAAGCCCACCCATCTCCTTTAGTGTAGATAATATCGTTTGTTAAAATAAATAAATAAACAATTATTTGATAACTAATTTAATCACATTATTAAGCCCGTGCGAAAGATTTTTTTTTTATAACCGGCATTACACGCCTCTTAAGATGTTTTGAACGTGTTTAAAAATAGAAAAAATAATATTTAATAAACAACTGGTTGAATCACATTATTGCTAACCTATTGCGAGGTACTAATTAAAATAAAAACAAATTATACAAAAAGAATTAATTATTAAAAATTACTGTTAAAATGATAAAAATACATTTACATTATTTTGAGTTGTTTTTGAATTTTTTTGTTTTGAGGACATTTCTATCTAAAAATTTTTAATGAAGTTTGTGACCCTAAAACTTTTTAATGAAACTTTTTAAAGATACCGTCGACTGAGATAGACATCAACTTGGACACCACGCCAGTTAGTTTACACAATCATTTTTTTTTATCCTTAAATGGGAAAGAATACCTGTTTGGTCAAAATATAAAACAAAAAGCAAAAATTTCCATTACGAGTACTTAGGGATCACATGTAAATGCAGTCCATCATTTTGCTCCCTCCCCTCTATTTTTTTTTTTTTTTTTTTTTTTTGAGAAAACCCTCCCCTCTATTTGTCTATCATGATATATGCATTTATGGGGGCCCGACAATGCTTTCCTTTTCTCATGTTACATAATCCATTCACTCCTCAGTATTTAGGGGGGTTTTTTTTTTTAGGGTTCTTTAGATATAGATTTTTACAACTCTTATTTCTTATATAAAAATCCATCTAATTTTAAACATCATAATAAAATCCAAATTTCCAAAAGACTGCCAAATAAAAAAGTAATTGACGTATCATTACAAAATATTTACAACTTATGCCACAATATTCAAATCAAATCAATAAATATTATTACTAACCTTAATTATAATAAACAAATAATTATTGCACATACTTATATATATGCGCAGTACTAACATATATGTTAAAAAATTATCATATGTAATTAGTTTACCTATTTGTAAATTTATGATTAGCAAATAATATATTTTGTAGGTAAATTAGTATTAAATAAAATAATATTGCTTTATTATGTAGGTAAATTATTTTGCATGTATTTTGCATATATTGGGTTTGTTTATTATGTAGGTAAATTATTTTGCAAGTATTTTGCATATATTGAGTAAATTATTTTGTGCAATCTAACATTTTAAAATTTTAATAGCAGGTGCACTATTTGAATCAAATAACATTTTTTTAGGTAAATTATTTTGCATGAAGTTTTACATATATTAGGCATTTTTTATATATGTGTGAAATAATTTACCTACATTAATATGTAAAATATAATTTTTGTGACTTTTTTTTTTTTGAGAAAGTACGATATTCATTGAATAGAGAAATACGTACATAAACGAGGATAGGGTGCTAACAATGGGCTGACTTAATTAAGCATGTCAATATACTAGACATGTTTTATTGTTATTATATATTAGGCAATGAATTTATAACAAATGTTTTTTTTTTTATAAAATTATTAATTCTCCCTTATAATTCACATGGCATTAATTGTTTACATCAAACATTCATATAGAGGTATTTTAGGCATTCAGAAAATTTTAAATGTGTTAAGTCAAACATAAATAATAATTTGTTGATGTGAAATCTAGTAACTAAGTTTTATTCGAATAAAAAACTTATGTCGGGTTTTATGTGAAGGAAATTAAGTTTTAAGGGCTAAAGTTATATTTTTTTTTTATTTTTTAATCGTCGATAGAAATCAAAGAGATTTCGTTCGTGTTTCAATAGTCACGCCAAGCCAATGGCGAGGAGAAGAGTGGCAGCCTGGCAGGGGACATCGCACCTATGTATATATAATTCTAAGATTTTGCTACAATGTTATTGAGATCTTTATTTATAGGTGACGTTTCTTCGGGTTTTCCATATGTGTGGTCATCTTCTATAATCGACATCAATAAAAAAATCAAAACAAAAAAACTTCATACATATATGTAAACCCGTTTCAATACTCCAGCGAGCCTGAACATTTCAACAATCCCCTTAGCTCGGAGAGAGAGAGTTCAATTTGCTGGGTTCTGAGTACTAATTATTTCATTGCGTTGGGGAATCCTTACTTAACCTAGCTAGCATACTTTTTCCTCTTTCCAAATTCCAAGGGGTCTGTATAATTTCGATAAGACGTACGTCGATCGGTCAAAGTTGGACCATGGATGCTAAAGTAACCAAGGTTGGACTTACTTTTTATTTAAGATAAAAAAACGGAAAAATAAATAAAACCAGCCCAACGCAGCGGGGTATATGATAAGGGATATCAAATAAAATCCTCACGCTAGAATCCACTACCAAACAAACTGAAATCGCCTGTACTTCGAAATTCACCGAAAAATAGAAAAAAAAACTCCAAAGTTTATTGATAACAATATGAATTGATTGCAAACCTAGAGTTGTTATCATATATGGCCAAATTTTAGCCACAAATTTCATAAATGTCAACTTTTATAAAAAATTTATAAATAGCCAAAATCACTCTTGAATAGACCCAAATACCTCAATTAAACATTTTTTTTCTTAACCTGTGCTAGCTTTTTCTCTTAATGAATGAGAGCAAGTATGCTTTTTTTCATAGGCTCACAATGAATCTGGATTCATTGGGAAGAAAATTGTTGTTCGAATATATCAACCTATAGGTAACTGCAAATTATATAAGTCATATATAGTTTCGTTTTTATATTAGGAAAAGTAACAAAACTCTTTTCGATACAGTAACTACGATAAGATTAAATCATCCAGTAAAAACAAGCGAAAAAGCTCCAATCAACTCTTATGTCTAACAACATGTATTGATAGCGAAAAAGCTTCACATGTTGTCAGACATGTACTGATCTAACATATAAAAATATTTATATGAGAAAGGTTTTGCTAATTTCTTTATATTACAGAGATTTGGGCTAGAGTACTGAGTATCCAATTCTTTCAATCCTCCATTTATGAACTTGAGGTAGTGACTGTTATTGTTAGTGTTCTTCACATTTATATGGTGATAAACAACCGCTGTGAAATCTACTTTCCGGCAATCAAAATTAGTTTTTTCCAGACATAAGCCAGTAGTCCTTTTGTATGTATCACATGAGTTGGAATCGAAAGGAACTTCAAGGATTTTAGGTCTAGTGTATTTGTTCTTTAATTTTTAGAGCATTCAGGTTTATTTAGGTTTTTTTTTTTTTTTTTGCTATAATTGATAGTTTTTATAAAAAATTACATTTATGAAATTGGAGGGTAAGTTTTGGCTATATATATATGATAAGAAATCGCAAACCTAATGGCAACATGACCTATTTATAATGTAAGTTAACCCTAAAAGCCCCTCAAATTCAAATAGGAAAGAAATTAAAAGCAACAAAATATTAAAAAGATCCTTAATTAATAGAATCTCGTTTCAAACATGGTGATTAGACTCCGACTGGGAGACAAGGACAGCGAAACAAGAAAATGAATTACAAGTAAATATATAGGAGACCACCAACGCTATATGCATACGGGGGCCGGGGGAGGGATTTGCAAATACATGCAACACATCTGAAGTAAGAGTACTCTTGCTTTCGCAGAAATTAATAAGCTGCAAACGAGCTCTTAGTGTGGTTAATTCATGCATGCATACATACATACATACATGCATGCATACATATATGTGAGTGTGTACAGCCTGATAATTAAGTATGTAGCATAATTATAATTAGTGCGAAGTAGCAAGAATGCTAAACAGAAAAGCAATTAAACCAAACTTAAGTCTTAAAGAAAATTTAATTAATTAAGCTGGGTCTTCATTTCATCAGTAGCATAAAGACTTCATTTCATCAGTGGCATAAAGAAACTCCATAAACCTCTCTGATCTGGTCCAACCAGAGGCCAAGAGTACTTAACTATGACTCTATGAGTGGATAATTAACTATATAAGTAGCTAGCATATGTAGTAGTTAAGTACGCGGAACTAAACTTTTAGTCTTAAACATATTAACTTTCACCATGAACTTGTAAGGGGTAAATCATCACTCAATCGTCATATCCATCATCGCCCAACATCTCGTCTGAAATCTCGTCCTCAGGTTCCTCATCGGCGGCCTCCTCCGGCAGTTCCTCATCGGCAGCCTCCTCTGGCGGTTCCTCATAAGCAGCCTCCTCTTGTGGTTCCTCATCAGCACTCTCCTCTGGTGGTTCCTCATCAATAGCATGCTCAGTTGTTTTCTCATCAACAGCCTCCTCCTCCTCAATCCCTAAGAACAACAAATAAGGTTTGGTAACAGCCCGGCTGAAAACGAAATAAACTTCACAACTTAACACGGCTGCCACCACCAGAAAAAGCTATAAAAAAAGAAAAAAAATATTTAAAATCCAAAACGCCTCATTCCAACTTTTGAAGAATATGATAAGAATCTCTCTATTTTATATAGGGGTTTAAGGAAAATAAAATAAAATAAAGCAAGAAACTAGAAACAGAAAGAAAAAGAAAAAGGTGCCAACTTTTTGGAGATCACACAACACTATATTAAAAAAAATTTGAACACATAGATCAGTAACCCCATGCATTAAAAATGACAACTTTGAAACAATTCCATAAACCTTCGGTTAAAAAAAAAAAACAATTCCATAACAATTTGTTTCATTTTGGAATAAAAGATGGAAAACAAGATCTGACCTTTAGCTTTAGCTGCTTGATGAACACTACAGCTGCCACCATCACCAGAAGAAACTAAAAAAAAAAAACAAAAACAAAAAACACAAACATTAAAATCCCAAAAGGCTGAAAAGATGGAGAATTTTTGTGTTTTGAAATAGGATCCACTACTTACTTGAGAGTTTTTGAATTTTGCTTTCCCCTTCAGCTGATGAGAATATTGATTTTCTTTTCTCCCCATCAGCGGGAGGCTTGGGCGGTTCAGAAGAGCTCATCTTTTAGGGCAGATGAGAGAGGGGGCTATTTTTCAAGCGAATTGTGTGTGTCTGTGGGTGGGGCTGTGTCTGTGGGGAGTGGGGTGTGAAGCTGTGCTTTTTAATATCCTGGCACAACTGTAAAGAAAAACATGGGTCAGCCAATCAAACACGCGCGTACAAGTGTAACATAGCAAACTACTTTTGGCCAACTTTTTCTTATTATTTTTTTTACTTTTTAACTAAAATGGTTCCTAAGATTCGCATAACTCCTCACTTTGGTCTTTGAGATTTGAAATCAATAGAAGTGGTCCCTGAGTTTATCCACCGTTAATCATTTTGGTCATTCCTTGAAAAATCTTTATTAAATACAGATAAAATAATAAAAATATCCTCAATTTTTGTCAAATCATTTTGACCAATTATTTATTAAAATGAGGGTATTTTTGTCATTTGGTAACATAATTTTTCAAGAAAAGACCAAAATGATTGATGGAAGACAATTTCAACGACTACTTCTATTAATTTCAAATCTCATAGATCAAAGTGATGAGTTATGCAAATCTCAATGACCATTTTAGCTAAAAAGCCTTATTTTTTCAATGAAAGCATTTTTGTCAAGAGGAATGCTAAGAAGACTCCCACAAATGGGATTCTATATGAACCCTCCACCACCTTGTGTTTTTGACACAATTTTTGTGCCAATGTTATAAAATATTGTGCAATAAAATGTAAGGTGCAGAAAGTCCATGGAAAGTCTCATTACCATTTCTCATTGAGTAAACTCTAATTAATAAACCGACATAGATAAAAGGTTAAATACCCCCAAACATCTAAATTTTTAAGCATTCCAAATAACCACCTAATTTATGTATTATAATAGGACATTTACTAGTTTTAAATAGGGAACTTTAACGAAAAACACCCGGTACTGTTCACTTTAACGAAAAACCACATTTTTACACTAAAAAGTCAATCATGGTACTATTCACTTTACCCTTTATTTTGTCTTTATCATTAAAACTCAAAGTTTTCAAGCCCTTTTCATTAGTTTTCCTTTTTAAATAATGTCTTGGACAAATATGCTTATAGGTCAAGTTTGCGTTCACACACACATCATCTATGGAGCCTTGATTCCTCAAATCAACTTGTTTTAGCCATTAAAACCTATACTTGTTCGGCTAAAGCTGGCAGTTTTGAGCACTTCAAGCTCTCCGTTGGTGAGTGTAGGCAGAAAACATAATACGCCCTTCAATTTATTTGTCTGCGTCATGACTTAGCCTTTCTGATGATGTCAATGTGCAATTTTCAAAACAATATATATTTATTTAAAATATTTTTAAAGGCTTGAATCAATTTAGGATCAACCTTAAGAGCAACTCTAGCGTTGCAAAGGCTCCCTAGGGCAAGTCACTATTGAATAGCCTCCAGTGAACAGTAACTGTCTTTAATGAACAGTCTATCTTTTGCATCTCCACCCTTAAACTGAATAGCCATGGCAATATGCAATAAAATATTAGTATTTTTTATTTTATAAAATAATAAAAAAATTTATTTATTTCAAATTTCGGATATGATTTTTAATTGGTCTCGTTGTACCACATTTCATTAAATAAGAAATTACAATCCAAAGTATTTGAGAAAATATAAAATCGCGGTGTAAGGTGGAAGATAATGATAAGTTATTTATTGAAAAATTAAATCTTTTTTTTAATTTTTAAAAATTTTTTTTCGGATTTTTTTATCAATCGTTTACTTTTTTATTTTTTTAAAATTAATTTTTTGACATTTTTTTTTATTAATTTTTAACATTTTTTATTAATTTTAAATGTGGCTGACGTTACCATGGCGTCAGCCATGCATTAGACAGTCCTCAAGCTCTCGGGCCACCAATTCGCGTTGGGCCTCTCACTTGGGCCTCCTCCCTCCCCAATCGCTTGCATGGGCTGGAGGTTGTTGCTGGGGCGTGTGGGTCTTCAAAGTCGCTTGTCCATCCGGCTCCAACATACGCTGCAGCTGCTCTAAAGATTGAGTAGTTATTGTGTACTTACAGCTAAATAAAACTTGAGTGCAAACACTACTGGGCTAACCCACATTTATAAAAAGAGTTCAACTTTTCTTATTAGTAGTACAAACACTACTGGGTTAAACCAACTTCAAAAGTATCACCTCATTCAATTTCACATCTTGTCCACTTTCCTTCTCAATGTTTAATTATTGTTGATTCCTCATATTCTTTTTCAAAAAATTATGAGTGATCTTCATCACAACTAAGTATATCATGTTTTTATGAGATGTGATCGATGCATCCAATCACAAATGATTTTCACTACGAAGCACAAATGATTTTTATTACAAAGCACAATGTTACCATATGAATGTAGACCGCTGATGCAAGAGAGGCCCACATTCAGCGCCGTCATGAACTTGCAAGAAACACTAATTTAGCACCATCAATTATAAACCGGCCATACGCAAGTTAAATAAAACCAGCCTTTATTTTGCATTTTCCGACTCTTAACTGTCCTCTATCAAAGGAAACCCCATAATAATATGTAGCTCCTCAAATCTACCAATAGAACCAATGAACCAAAATGCAAATCGGATTAGTTGATTTGAAAACTACAAGTGCATTTTCAGAACCAAAAATGAAATAATTATCAAACTATCTCACAATATTGGTTAAAATGGGGTCCCCCAAAGCCCAAGCAAACAGCAAACGAAATGAAAAAAATAGCTCACTAGGCTTATGCAAACGGCCTTCGGCCTTGCAACTCCAGCTGGTTCATCAGAAGACAGAAGGATGATAACCGAAAATAGAGGGCGAAGATTCAAAGGAGCATCCTACATCAATGAAGAAACTCAACCTAGTCAGAAAATCAGTCACCGTGTTCTTCTCCATGCATATATGTTTCATTTCAAAATGCTTGAACTGGGAGATAATAGCCTTGCAATGACATTGGACAAGTGAGACCAGAGAACGAAGCTGACAAAATCTTCCGTCCTTACATCAATTTTTCAAATTCAGTAACACCTCAATACATAAAGAGATGCTATCATGAAAACACTTCCACTATATCTTCTGGTCTTCCAGTTCCGATGTTCTAACATCTTCGCTAACATTATCTGTAGGCGAGCAACGCATTTTTTTTCTACAGGGGCTTGTAGGAAGTATCAGCTTAACTGCTCTATAATCATCTTCCATATCACACATCTCCTCCTGTACTGCCGGGTTCCTGTTACAATTGATTACACCACGAATACTTAGCTTAGCTCCGAACGCAAATACTTAGCTTAGATGTAAACAAGAGAACAGTGATACATCAGACATAACCAGAAATGAAAACACTGACTGAATGTAACCAGTACGCTGAGTTACTTTTCAGGTTCAAACCAACTACTTTTGAGAGGAAAGCATACCCACAAGCCCATAGAAAGACATTCTCCACAGTATTACGCCTTGATAGGACATTCGTATGCCAATCGGTCCACTCTCTATTTTCCTGACAAGAAAGCTTCTCATGTAAATATTTATTCCAATATATAAATATTAGAACCTCACAGAACAAGAAACATAAATACGAAGAAATAAAAGTACGAACCTGCAAATATGCCTGAATCTCGCTATTGTTGTTTCCCAGTTGAATGATTTTGTTGGATATACGCGTTAAATGTCCAATGTTCCCTAACCTGGGTGGGGATCTACCCTCATCAGGAACTGTCGGCCGTTTTGGATCAGCTCCTAAAGTGTAATTATTTTCTGCTGTAAGTATTTTTCCGACAAGATCACACTCACAAAGAAGATATTGTACAAGAGGAGCATTCTTGCTTTCTAAACATGATACTATTATGTTCTCTATGTGGTGATGGACAAAGTTGTTATATGGGTACCTGGAGAACAAAACGTGAGAAGTAAGACCTTGTATCAACACACTCTTTCTTGGACAAGAAAATTCTCAAGCTTACTTGAAAAACAAGTCTAAAATTCTTTGAATTGCTCCGAGACGAATCAATTCCTTCTCAACAGTTTCACCACCCACACTCAGTAATACTGCAACGAACTCTACAATCTTTAAACGATGTTGTCCAAGAGGTGGCTGTAACTTGCCATATGTAGTTAGCAACACATTGTCCGCCGTTGAAACATCCAAAAGCTTCAGCAAATCACCTGTATCATAGCATGCTTTGCAGCATCAATTTTTGACCAATCCAAAATTATCTACACGACCTATTGTTACACAGAAGAACAAAGGATTGGACAAGTCCAAAATTGGGCAGAATCCTATGGATAATACAAAACTGGACTACAACTCAACTAAATACAACGGGAGCCTCATTACATTACAGGTTTTTGTTTAATCCCATGTGGAGTCAAGGAAAGATCAGAGCGCACTAATTTAAAATTAAAACAGAAAACATAACGCAAGTAGTCGTGAGCACCAACCTAACTGAATGCAAGTACCACGTACCAAATGACCAAACTAAGGACTTAACCTTACCTAGGATCTCCAGCATGCCAACAACAGTCTCGGAATTAGCAGTATCTACCGACCCATAAGTAATTTGAAGTCCACCGAAATTCTCATATGTTCTCGAATTTAGCCTCGTAGGGTCTAACATATACAAGCACACTGACAATAAGTTAATAAGAACATATTGCGGTCGTGAGTCCTCCAAAGCATGCCGGAACAATCTTCTCATAAAACTGCGTAGAATGTGCACAAAATGAACTCACTGCAGAATCTTAGAGCAGAAATGAAAGCAACATCAATTTATCGTAAATGTAAGAAGGCATAATGCTACCTTGGGCTAGATATTTTAGTAGCAAGTCCAGGTGGAGCGAACCTTGCTACAGCACAAAGTGTCTCTGCTGTATTAGCATGCACTTCCGGAGAATTCTGTAGAAAACATGCTCATAAAAACTTGCTCATTAACAGCAAACAAGCCATCCTTATTGAGACTGTTGGAATTAAATAGAATTCAGTTTTGTTCAAGTGTTTAAGAAGAAAGAAATCAATAGAAAAGTGTATGTCTAGTCTCATAAGACAAGTGTATGCTTTAGATCTTTGTTTTGAATCAAGGGCTGAGATTGCTCTAGATTAGCTTGTAAGGAAATATCCTTAGTTGATATTTATTGAAATATCTGTGATTACTTCACAGATAAGAAACCTTTCACATTCCCCCCCGATTCTGTGTTCTCTGCCTTCATTTTCTTGTCTGCCTCCAGGAACCAAAACTAACTCACCAGAATTTATCATGGCCTCAGAGCATAGGTTCTGATCAAATTCAGGACTGGGCGTTTTGTGTGTGTGTGCTTCGTATCTCTGAAAAGAAAAGGGGGAAAAACATACCCGGATCGTGAAAATCTCATATGTTCTTACAAAGCCTCACATGGTTACTTCGAGCAGTGGAGGAGATCTGAGGGCTCCTATTTTCAATGGGATCAACTACGATTTTTGGTCCATCAAGATGAAGACCATATTCAAATCACATGATCTCTGGACTTTGGTGGACAAGGGTTATGAAACTGCAGAAAATGAAGATGATTCTAGCGATGAAGATCAACAGTCTGTGAGGAAGATAGCAATGAAAGTTAATGAAACCAGAGATGCAAAAGCTCTTGGTATCATTCAAGGGGCAGTGTCTGATGAGATCTTTCCTCGAATCTCAAACTTTGAAACCTCCAAGACTGCATGGGATGTTCTTCAACAAGAATTTCGTGGTGACAAAAAGGTTAGGTCTGTCAAACTACAATGTTTAAGAAGAGATTTTGAGTATACTAGGATGAATGATGGTGAAGCTCTATCTGTTTATTTAACAAGATTGACTGATATTGTGAATCAAATGAAAACTCTTGGTGAAGAACTGACAAATCAAAGATTAGTGCAAAAGATACTTATTAGCTTGCCTAAATCTTATGATTCCATCGCATCTATTATAGAAGAAACTAAAGACCTTGACTCCATTGAGGTTCAAGAAGTGATTGGTACATTGAAAGGCTATGAGCAGAGGTTAAATATGCATTCTGAAAACTTAGCTGAAAAGGCCTTTACTAGCCTAAGTGTGACTGAGAGAGATAGCAGTTACAGGGGTCAGGGGGAGCAACTCAAATCAAAAAGAAATTATGGAAAGGCAAAGGGAAGAAATGGGACAACAACCATACTTCACAATCAAAATCAGAATCTAGCAGTGAGTCTACCAAAACCAAGTGTAAAATCTGTGACAAATTACACTATGGTGTTTGCTGGTTCAAGGGAAAACCCAAATGCACCAAGTGTGACAGATTTGGCCATCTAGCAAAAAGATTGTAATCCAAGAAGGAACCAAGTTGTCAACTATGCACATAGAGCAGAAGAAGAGGAAGTAAATGTCTTTTATGCTTGTAGTGTTGCAAAAACTGAAAACAAGAGAGGAATCTGGTATATTGACAGTGGATGCAATAATCACATGACTGCATATGAATCCTTGCTGATCAACATTGACAGAAGCTTCAATTGCAGAGTTAAAATGGGGAATGGACAACTAGTGGAAGCTACTGGAAAAGGAACTCTTGTTCTAGAGACAAAGGGTGGAAGAAGATTCATCAAGGATGTAATACTTGTACCAGGTCTTGATGAGAATCTCCTTAGTGTGGGACAGATGATTGCTCATGGTTACTTCTTACTTTTTGGAGACAATATGGTGGAGATCTTTGATGACAGAAGCCTCCAAAACTTGGTAACACAAGTTGGCATGACAGAAAACAAAAGCTTTCCACTTATGCTAGATTACAATGATTCAATTGCCCTAAAAGCAAGTGTTGCAGAAACCTCTTGGTTATGGCATAAGAGGTTCGGACATCTCAACTTTCACAGTTTAAAGAGATTGGAGAAACTACAAATGGTGACTGGTCTTCCTGAGTTACAAGAGACTAAAGAACCGTGTGAAGGTTGCATATTGGGGAAGCATCACAGGGACTCTTTTGAAACTGGAAGTGCATGGAGAGCAAGTCAACCTCTAGAACTCATACACACAGATGTGTGTGGTTCAATGAAGACACCTACACTCAGTGGGAACAGATATTTTCTGCTATTCATTGATGACTGCACCAGGATGGTTTGGGTATATCTTATGAGAAACAAGAGTGAAGTCTTTTCAATCTTCAAGAAATTCAAAATGATGGTTGAACTTCAGAGTGGTCTCAAGATCAAAAGACTAAGAAGCGACAGAGGTGGTGAATTCACTTCACTTGAGTTCCAAGAATTCTGTGAAGGAGCAGGATTGCAGAAGCAATTGACAGTGGCCTACACACCACAGCAGAATGGTGTGGCTGAGAGGAAGAACAGGACCGTGGTTGAAATGACCAAGTCAATGCTCCATGATAAGAAAATGCCACTTTCTTTTTGGGGTGAAGCTGTCAATACATCTGTGTATCTCCTAAACAGGTGTCCAACTAAAGCACTTGAGAAGAAAAACACCGTTTGAGGCATTTAGTGGCAGAAAACCAAGTGTGAAGCACTTGAAGGTGTTCGGATCAATCTGCTATGCACAGATACCATCTCAACTACGACACAAGCTTGAGATCAATAGTGTCAAGTGTGTCCTTGTAGGTTATGGAAGCTGTGAAAAGGGCTATAGGCTCTACAATATTGAGTCACGCAAAGTGATTCTCTCAAGGGATGTGGTGTTCAAGGAGAATGAAGCATGGAATTGGGAAACCAATAACATAGACACTATCTCATTTCCACTAGCAATGGAAGAAGCACAAGCTGAAGTGCAAAATGTGAATGAACCTGTTATACAAGATGAGAGTCAAACTGACTTTTCAACTCCAACACAAGGATCTCAGTCCTCTACTTCAAATGCAGAAGGACAAGAATTACAGGATTCCTCCCCTGAAACAACTCCAGTGAGAATGAGGAGTTTAAATGAGATCTATGCAGTGTGTAACTATTGTGTTGTTGAACCAGAGAGTTTTGAAGAAGCTGAGAATGATCAATCCTGGCAGAAAGCAATGAGTGAAGAAATTGCCATGATTGAGAAAAACTCTACTTGGAAATTGGTAAATAGACCGAGTGATAAACCTGTGATAGGTGTGAAATGGATTTACAAGATCAAACTGAATTTGGATGGATCAATACAGAAGAACAAAGCAAGATTAGTTGCCAAGGGCTACTCACAACAACCTGGGGTAGATTTCAATGAAACCTTTGCCCCAGTGGCAAGGTTAGACACCATTAGAACCTTGATTGCTCTTGCTGCCCAAAAAGGATGGAAACTTCACCAGTTAGATGTCAAATCAGCTTTTCTAAATGGCATTTTGGAGGAAGAAGTGTATGTGGATCAACCACAAGGATTTGAAGTGCCAAATAAAGAGGATAAGGTCTACAAGTTAAACAAAGCACTGTATGGACTCAAACAAGCCCCCAGGGCTTGGTACAGTGAGATAGACTCCTATTTCAGCAAGAGTGGATTTAACAAAAGTCCTAGTGAAGCTACATTATATACAAAAACTGGTGAGAACTCTGAGATGCTTATTGTGTCTATATATGTTGATGATGTGGTCTTTACTGGTAATTGTGAAGAAATGATTGAAGAATTTAGAAGGGAAATGATGAGACAATATGAGATGTCGGATCTTGGCTTGTTGCATCACTTCTTGGGAATTGGAGTAATACAAGAAGCTACTGGGATTTTCATACATCAGCAGAAGTATGCACAATCACTGCTTGAAAGATTCAATCTGAAAGGATGCAAATCTGTGGCAACCCCATTGATCACGAATGAGAAACTTTGTAAAGTGGATGGTTCTGAATCTGCTGATGAATGCTTATACCGAAGGATGGTTGGAAGTCTGCTTTATTTGACTGCTACAAGACCTGACATTATGTATGCAGCCAGTCTCTTATCAAGGTTTATGCATAATCCCACGAGAATTCACATGGGAACTGCTAAGAGAGTACTAAGGTATATCTCAGGGACCTTGGACTATGGAATCAAATATGAAAAGGGAGAAAAAAGCAATTCTGGTAGGCTTCTGTGACAGTGATTGGGGGGGTGCAGTGAAGATGACATGAGAAGTACCTCAGGATATGCATTTACATTCGGTTCAGGGATATTTTCTTGGGCTTCTGTCAAGCAACAAAGTGTTGCATTGTCTACGGCTGAAGCAGAGAGTATGTGAGTGCTGCAATGGCTACCTCCCAAGCTATATGGTTGAGGTTTGTGTTAAAGGATTTTGGTGAAATGCAAGTTGATGCTTCACCACTTATGTGTGACAACACATCAGCAATAGCTATGACCAAGAATCCTATTTTTCATCAGAAAACCAAGCATATCAAAAGGAAGTTTCACTTCATAAGGGAAGCCTTGCAGGAGAATACCATTGAACTGATCTACTGCAAATCACAGGATCAAATGGCCGACATCTTCACCAAAGCTCTACCGAGGGAAAGGTTTGTCTATCTCAGAGGAATGCTTGGGATCAAAACCAGAATTCATTTAAAGGGGAGTGTTGGAATTAAATAGAATTCAGTTTTGTTCAAGTGTTTAAGAAGAAAGAAATCAATAGAAAAGTGTATGTCTAGTCTCATAAGACAAGTGTATGCTTTAGATCTTTGTTTTGAATCAAGGGCTGAGATTGCTCTAGATTAGCTTGTAAGGAAATATCCTAAGTTGATATTTATTGAAATATCTGTGATTACTTCACAGATAAGAAACCTTTCACATTCCCCCCCCCCCCCGATTCTGTGTTCTCTGCCTTCATTTTCTTGTCTGCCTCCAGGAACCAAAACTAACTCACCAGAATTTATCAGAGACTGGCAATACTTTTAAACATAAAAGGGATACCAAAATGGAAATATTGGGATACCAAAATGGAAATATTGATATTTCCAGCACACTAATCATGGTTTTAACCCTATAAGTTGTTGTGCTAGGACAACACCAAACCTTATGGAACCAACTCAAGCTAACCCACAGGAAATTTATCAAATGAAAATGCAAGAACAAAATATTAAAGACACCAAGATTTTAACGAGGTTCCTCAACAGTCAGTGTAACTGGAGTACGTCCTCGGAGCAGTAGGAGCTCACCCAATAATCCACTATCAACCAAATGGGAGTTTACAAAGTGTTGGCAATCTCACAACCCAAATAACCCAATACACCCAATAACTCTCACTCACCAAAGAAACAAATAGAGAGAGAAATATAGTGAATAATTTCCTCTCTATACAAAACTCAAAGCTAATATACAAATACAACTTTGATTGAGTGAGTACCAACAAAGAAAGAAATCACCTTTCTTTCTTCTCTTTCTGCTCTCAGTTTTCTGCTCTCTGCAGCTCTCTTTGCTCTCTCAAAGATGGACTACAAACCAGAAAATGGTGCACACACCTACCTCTCTCTTTCTCACTTCCGTATGCTAACATTCATCCATCATCATCACCCAATAAAAAATTCAAAAACATCATCATGACCATCAACTTTTCTTTTCAACAAACATAATCATGATGCCTCCTCATCATGATGTCTTTCACCTTTTTTTAATTTGGTTTGTTTATTAGCCGAAAGTTGTTTTGGACACTTGTGGCCATTAATTCAACAATCTCCACCTTGGCCAAGTTCCGAAAAACGCCATGATAAGCCAACCAACACAATTAGCACACAACATCACTCCCGAACACTAGCAAGAGAACAACTCATGCCGAGCCAAATGCTCCAAAACTCCTACTGCTCAACGCCTTCTTTATATAGGCATAATGTGAGCCAAGTTCAAACAGTGAACAAACTTGGCTACACCAGCAACCTTAGTCAACATATCAGCGGGGTTGTCTTTAGTTGGAATCTTCTGGAGAATGATTTCCCCTTCACCAACAATTTCACGAACAAAGTGATAACGCACATCTATGTGCTTGGTCCTCGCATGATGAACCTGATACTTAGCCAAATAAATGGCACTCTGACTATCACAATGTACCTCCACCTGCTTCTGATCAACCCCCAAAATCTCTAATCAGCCCATGTATCCAAATGGCCTCCTTTATAGCTTCAGCAACTGCCATATATTCAGCCTCTGTAGTAGACAAGGCAACAGACGACTGCAAAATGGACATCCAACAAACTGGTCCTTTAGCCATAGTAAACACATAGCCTGTAGTAGACTTCCTTCCATCCAGATCACCTGCATAATCTGAATCAACATAACCAACTGCAAAATGACCAATACCAGAGTCATCTCTCTCAAAGCATAAACCAACATCTCGACGAGTACCATGGAGATATCTCAATATCCACTTAGCTGCTTGCCAGTGCTCT